ACTCATATTGAGCCTGCTGTCAACCAGCAGCCCCAGATCCCTTTCTGCAGGGCTGCTCTCCAGCCACCACTCTTCCAATTTATACTTGTGTCCAGCGTTACTCTGTCCCACGTGCAGAATCCGTTCTTGTTGAATTTCATGCCATTGATGATTGCCCAATGCTCCAATCTATCCAGATCCCTCTGCAAGGCCTCTTGTCCCCTGAGAGGGTCAACAGCACCTCTCAGTTCAGTATCATCAGCAAACTTCCTAATGGTGCATTCAACTCCTGCGTCCAGATCATTGATAAATATATTGAACAGAACTGTCCCTAGAATTGAGCCCTGAGGACCACCGCTGGTGACTGGTCACCAGCCAGATGTAGCCCCATTCACTACAACCCTTTGAGCCCTGCCATCCAGCCACTTCTTCACCCAGTGCACCATGTACTTGCTCCTGTCACAGTTGGACAACTTGTCCAGAAGGATGTTCTGAGGGACAGTATCAAAAGCCTTACTAAAATCCAGAAAAACTATATCCACCACCTTCCCTTCATCCACTAGGTGGGTGACCTTATCGTAGAAGGGTATCAAATTAGTTACACAAGACTCTCCCTTTGTGAACCCATGTTGACGGCGCCTGATGATTGCATTGTCCTTTAAATGCCTTTCAATAGCACCTAGAATGATCATCTCCATCATTTTTCCAGGTAGTGAGGTTAGATTAACAGGTCTGTAGTTTCCTGGGTCTTCCCTCACGCCTTTCTTGTAAATTGGAATAACACTGGCTAGCTTCCAGTCAGCAGGGACCTCCCCAGACTCTCAAGACCTTTGGTAGATGATTGAGAGGCGTCCTACTGTAAGATCCGCTAACACGTTCGGTATTCTGGGATGAATACCATCTGGCCTCATGGACTTATGAACATTCAGCTGATACAACTGGTCCCTTACAATTTCAGTGTCCACAAATGGAAAGTCACTGTGCCTGCAGTTCCCTCCAACTCAGAGGGCCGGGCAGCCCAAGGTCTATCAGTATTATTAGAGACCAAGGCAAAAAAAGCATTGAATGCCTCCACTTTTTCTTCATCCTGATTTGTCAGGTGACCACCTTCAACAAGTATCGGTCCAATGTTTTCTTTAGACCTCCTCTTGCTATTAATGTACTTCAAAAAGCCTTTCTTCTTGTCTGACACAATACCAGACAGTTTCAACTCTAACTGGTCTTTTGCGTTTTCTCCCTGCATATGCGAACCACAGCTCTGTAATCTTCCTGCAAAGCCTGACCTTGCTTCCAGAGATCGTACAATTTCTTTTTCCTCCCGAGTTCCACGAGGAGTTCCCTGTTCAGACAAACTGGTTGCCTGCGCCACTTTCTTGGCTTTCAACACAATGGGACTGCCTGCTCTTGTGCTTTTAAAAGGTGGTTCTTAAAAACTGACCAGCACTCATGGACCCCTAAGCCCTCAAAAGCCCATTCCCAGGGGACACTGCTAACTAGCTCACTGAGTAGCTTAAAGTTAGGTCTCTTGAAATCCAGGGTAGCAACTCTACTGACCATTTTTCTCATTACATCAAAAATTTTAAACTCAACCATTTTGGGATCACTGTGGCCAAGACAGCCATCTACCATCACATCTCCCACAAGTCCTTCTCTATTCACAAATAACAAGTCTAGGAGGGCATCTTTCCTTGTTGGCTCACTGAGTACTTGTGACAAGAAATTATCTTCAACATACTTAGGAATTTCCCAGACTTGCTTGTCACAGCAGTATGGTATTCCCAGCTGATGCCTGGGAAGTTGAAGTCTCCCATAAGGACATGGAAAGAAGACAACTGGAGAGAAGACAAACCTGGAAAAAGACTGGGGAGTCCTGGTGGACAAGAAGTGGAATATGAGTGAGCTGTGTATCTTTGAAGCAATAATCACATACTGGACCACCTTAGTAAAAGCACAGCTGCCAAATCAAGGCACGTTATTATTCCTTTCTACTCAAGCACACCACATCTGAAGCACTGTGTCCTTCACTGCAAGTACTGTGTGAGTACAGTGTGAGTTCTAAGGAATCTGCCTTAGAGGAAAAGAAACAAAACAATGCACCTAGTTCATTCATCTAAGAATGCTGCAAATATTCAAGCTACCAAAGTCTGAAGATGAATTTTGATAAATACCCTGGAGTAACAAGATAGATAATTCGTTTAGCTTGTCTACCACTCAGGAGAATCAAATTTGGTTGAGAGCCTGACTGACCTGCAAATGCATTCTAACCTAGAAATAGGAAAGACAGGGCAGCTGCAAGAACTTGAGTCTCCTGGCTCTTCCAGAAAGTTGTCATGGCAGGAAGTATGGCTTACCAAGATAAGGCCTGCCACAGTTACTCTTCAGTACTGCCACAGGTACATTCAACCTTTAAAGGCAAGGAAGACCTCCTAGGAGCTTACAACCTAAGTAAGGGCTTAACCAGATGAACAGTGCTACTGACCTCAATAGGAAAATCTGATAAATTATCTTTCCCTGCCCCCAGAGAAAAATAATGTGAAGTCTGGCAACCCCCCCTCCCCGCTGCAATGAGTGAGATGAAGGCCGTTGATTCCTTAACACCTCAAACACCTCTCTTACAAAAGTTTTAAAACTGTCCTGACACCACAGAAGAAACAGAACTACTCTGAATAATACTCGGAATGTAGCAACATATATCAGAATTGGTTTTAAAAAGGGGAACACAACGGCCAAAATTTAAAATTTTAGCTGAATGCTCAGTAATCTGAGTAAGTCTGTTGAATAGACGCAAACCAAGAGACATTGTGAAAAGATCGTTCATGAGATTAAAAACACTCAATTGCACAAATGCAATCCCCTTTTAGGGAACCACTCCCTGTCACTGAAACAGCCTGCAAGTTAGCTTACAAGGCTTCCAATCCTAAAATTTATCTGCAGGTTGTCAGGAGAATGTGACCGCCTTTCCCGTTCACTGTGTTCATGAGTACTAGATAGTCAAGCTACTACACTTCAGGTTTACCTTCTCTTTGTATGTTCTAGATTACAGGCCCTCCAGTGCTGAGACTTCTTGTGCTACCTCTTATGCACCTTTGCTCAAAATAAGTACAAAATAAGACAATCCAATGACTACTTTAAAACAGGGACACTCCTCTCTCCACAAAACCCTTACAGCTTGTCCCGTAATCCAGACTGACCTCTGTACTCTTTCAGCAAGGTAAAAAGGCTTTCCCTGTTCTAATTAGTTCTAAAATGTACCACCACCAAAAAAAAAAAAAAAAAAAAAAAGGTTTTGAGAGGGATTTACGTGGCCAGATCTGACAGTTTGCTTGGGCTGCAAAATGTAAATCCAATTTGGATCTCTCCCCAAGAATAAGTAGGTATTAGGGGATCAGACATGGACAGTGTGTCTGTAATATTACTGTATTTGTCAATCATGATTTAGTGAGTCATTCAATTTTTGTTTTGTGTATGTTATGACCATTTAACATTTTAATAGAGTTAAATATAAATCACCACTTTATATCCTCACAATCAAGTCTGTCCCTCAGCTATTTGATTTATAAGAGAGAGCAGAACACTGCAAAACCACTAAAAACATGCAAATTTTGTTATCTACTTAAGAGCGCTAACTGCACCTCCACATTCAAAATGAATTTTACAAGCTTAAACGGTCCTGTCTGAAAGCTCCACCCAGTGAGGAAAGCAAAAAGAGTTCTATGTATACAAATACATCCTATTTTTAAAGGATTTAAGAAGCCATGAGGTCACCTGTTCCTTGACACATGCTATGCAGGTATATATTCTAAAAACACAGCCCAAAATAAGCTCCAGACAGAGTAATTCAAGACAAGTAAGTGGAGTGTGATCAAAAATTCAAGAAAAGAGAGGGAAGAAATCACTCTCCATGTATTCTGCAATACAGAAGTTAACAGGGGACCAAGTGGAAGTGCTATGAAAACAAGAGAATTTTTTGTGTATGCTGCAGAGTAAAGTACAATCATCAGTAGGTGGAGACACCTCCAGTAGATATAGCAGACAATACTTTTTGAAGGGAGGGAAAACATGAGACAGAAGTGTCTGATCAATACCCAGAACGCTTTGAACTCAGGTGATACTTTAAATGGCTTTTTTGTTCAATGGCATGTTAACTTCAATGGCAAGCATCCTTTAGAAATGCTAACAGTCATTTTTTTAATTTATACACCAAGAAATGGAAGTTTTGTATATCCTCTACCATACTCCAAGGATATTCAAGGGTTCAGGTTCCTTTCCAGGACACCAGCTTGCACATTTATGTCCAAGTAGTTCTCCCAAATCCTTATCCAATAGGAGATTTAGGAAAGAACATGCAATACACAAGCAAGACTAAAGACATTCAGAACAAGGGAGAAGGAAAAGGTCTAATGGACGATGCTGCCAGTGAGCCAATGGCAATTTCTGAATGGACAAGCACCGTATTTGCTTCGCTAGAAGCAACATGATTTGAGTCCATTAGCACATGGCCTGAAAACATTCTGCTAATACAGAATTCAGGTTCCATGTTTCAACTTGTTTGCATTCACTCCTCATTCCCCAGCCAAGAAAACCTCCTGGCCTGGAAGAAAGCAGGGGGAGACTTTTGCGTCCCTGGGCGGTAGTGGGACTTTCACCCAAAAAACACCAAATGCACAAACAAGCAACATGTCCAGGGGGTGAATAAAGATCCAAAAACCCAAAAGAATCTGTACATGACCCAACACATATGAGCTGGCATCAGGAAAGGAGATGAATGCATAATAAATACAGCAATAGCAAGAACATTTTTAAAAGCCACTGCGGTCCCAACACTGATTACCTTTTTTTAAACATAGATTCACAAACATGATTTAGGTATGTGGGGCACGCAGATCAGTCTGGATGACGGCACACATCACACACCAATACTGAAGATATCACTACTGCCAAACAAGATGTTTGGTGAAGACACACACCAGAGTCAAACACTTCCAAAATCCAGCAAGCTTTTACAGTTGCAATGCTTCCTTTTAGCTGTATCCAGGGCTCTTCTCTGGTGGCATTTTAAAAAAGTTACTGGAGGCAGCAATAGTGGCTTTCTCGGCTGCTGGTGTTTTCCCTGTCCACTCAGAGTTCTGGGATCTCAGGGATGGTGTTGCTGGTAGTTCTGACTCTGCTGCATCCATGTGGACAGATAAAGTTGCTGGAATATAAAATTGCAGGAAAGGGGGAACAGAGGAAGAGAGTAGGAAAGGGCAGTAAAAAAAAAAAGTTAGAACAAGTGACTTCATGGCAAACGCCTCATATATATAATTTCTTATATGAAGGTGTTATTTACTGAGTTCCTACAAGTTCCCCTGCCAAATTCTTTTGAAATATAGGTTCTTGATAGCATTAACACCTTTGCCCTAATGATTCTCACATTCAGAGCTCCAAGTTTCCAGTCCACTAACTAGTTCTTTTAGTCAAAGTTCCTGTTGAAAATCAAGAGCTTTAGCTGTCCCATACTTAAACTGAATCAAGTCATAAGCACTCAACTGAAGGTAACTTGATCTCTCCACAAAGACTCAATTAACCTGGTACCTGAGAATTTTGAAGTCTCTGAAGGCTTGGCAAATTTCAGGTTGCAAAGCTCAGTTAAAGAGGAAAATATACCTCTCCTCTTTACCCAGTAAAGGCAGTACTATGAACCTCCACATATATCCAATATGGTAAATCAGTATATTATAACAAGAAGCTACTTGCTAAGCTAGGTTGGAATCCATTCTCATTGTCTCAATACAACCACTGCTTCAAAATGGGACAGGCTATAATTAGCAAGAGAGATTTGCAAATCCATAGTTCAACCCAACAGTCACCCAAATTTCCAGAAGGATTGTGAGAAACCTCGAGATATGAGAGTTTACCCATATTCTCAGTATCCTGAATCACTCAATCCTCACAAGCAGAACAGGGCAGGATAAAAAAAAAAAAAGAGTAATTGCCACAGGAGTCTTTGGGGCAACCAGAATTTTTCTGAACAAATAACTGCTTCAGTATGAAACACATCTATTTTTCATTGTATTCTCACAACAGATAATAGTTGTGTGTTTTTATTACAAATTGTGTCTGCTGCTCTGTAGTGGATGAAGGATAAAGAGGCCTTAACAAGCCTCAACTAGAGGACTGATTGCTTTGAAGTTTAAATAAAAAGTTGGTTCAATGCTTCAGGTTCCACACTCAGCAGATCTGGAACCCCAACAATCCTGCTTCTGTACATGCAAAACAGTGAGTCATTCCCATACAACCACAACAACAGAGAATGATAACAGTACATTGCATATTTTACCTCTAGCCCATCAACTTCCTCCATGTGAAGGTCATATGAAACATGTAAAAAAAAGTAAGTCAAAGTCCTTAAACTAACAATCACCACCAATACTACACTACGACCCCCTCCCTAGCAGGGTCCCCACTGAGGCTCTCCATCCTTGCTCATTAAAAAAAAAAAAAAAGAAAAAAAAAGCAAAGGACTAAACAGGCTTCTTGCTACTGGGTACATCACACCATGACAAAGAGTGAATGCATTAGCAAGAACAGCAGAGGGAAAATTCACCAAATTGCTACTACCCATCAGACTGTTCTCTGATAAGCAGTTTCAGAGGCTGCTAACTGGCACCATTTAGAAATTATTATTTTTCACAAGTTAAGTGTGAATACATGCCAAGGCAGACAAAAATCTATTTATGCAGATTTTTACCCCAGACTTACTGTAATACCTGGATAGGATGCCAGTTACCATGTGCACCACTACATATATAGGGGACTAGACCACATAAACACTAAAAACATCAGTGTAAAGCTGGACAATTGTTTACCATTTATTTCAAAACCATCTACACTTGTGGCCTATTCTGACAAATAGAAGGCAGACATGACAGTCTTCATCAGATTCCTTTCAAACCAGAGAATAACTACCATGAGAATAACATTTTATACAGTATTTCTCAGACAAGCTCTACTGTGCCACTCGGGACATTATTCCAAATCTATTGTACTGCAACGGAATGTAACTAAACACAAGGACACTATCCATGCCTTTTGAAGCCCCTAAGTCTTAGATTACTGAAAGTTCGAAGGACTTTTATCCCTACAGACTTTCTTCTTCCCTAGGCACTGGCTGTTGGTCACTGAGTTGGATGAACTTCTGGTCTAATCCAGTACAGCCAGTCTTACTTCCTCCAGATTTCCATATTCTACTGCCAAACTACACCAGCCAGACTTTTGTTCTTACCTGGTGAAAGCCTCGTGCTTTAGGGCTCACACACTGCTCAATTGTCTAGTGTGGAAAGCACTAACTTTTCAATCACCTTTAACAGAAATAATATCAGATTTGTGTAAGTTTGCCCAACTTAATTTTGATAACAGTCACTTCCTGAAGTGCAAATGAATTCTGAATTTTCTAACCACTTTTTGTTGCTCTCAACAGCCATGCCTGTTTCCAAAATGTTATTCTTTAACAGCTATCTCAGTTATGGTATTTAGGCCAGTTAGCCTCAAAGGGCAGGACTAATACCAAAAGTTTAAAGCTGTAACATACAGAGTTATACAAATACAATAGAGACCTAGGTACTTCTGCTACAGTAATGCATGTTTTTTGATGTTCATACAAGGGTCTCTGACAAAAGATGCTTTGCCAGAACCCATACTCACATTCATGAAAGTATGTGAGAAGACACGGAATAAACTTAGTTTGCTTGTCCCAAATAAACATATCTCTAGCTCCCTTCTCTCATTCCTGCAGCTAGAAGGGAGACAGCATCCACATCTCATATACCTTTTATTAGCATCTTCTGATTTCAGCCAAATTCAACTCCAAACTTTCTGTGGATGGTGGGGGGGGTGAAGCGACGGGAAGATTTGTAGCTGCATGTTTAAGAAAGAAGCTAAATTCATCACAATGACAGGGGAGAGTGTTGGCAGAGATTTGAGCTATTTATTCTTTTAGGAAAATCCTATAAAGAATGACACAAGGAAGCCTCTATCTGCAGTCTTGTTCATCACACTGGTGAGGAGTCCGATAACAGATGTATGCAGTAGTGTGATTTAGTGCCAGGAGCTGGCCCCTGATGTGTATTAATACAGCGGCAAAGCGGAACGAGCCCCTCTTCATCACTCATCTCTATAAAAGAGGTGGAATCCGAGATGGCCCGATGTTCGGCAGAGCAAGCCCATTTGTTCTGCTGACTGATGGAGCCAGCTCAGGCTGTGTCCTTCACCTCCATGGGGCACTCAGGTTGCAAAAAAGGAGATCACTGAAGCAGGACCTGGTCAACAAGTGAGACGAGAGCAGTTAGACTCAGCTAAGGAGCTATTTAAAGGTGAAGAAATCCAGCACTCTGTGTGCCTGCAATGACAGGCATGGGCCTGCTTTCTCATTCACCTGTGTTTCATCTTTTGCAGAAGAGGTAAAACACCACAAACATAAAAAGCCTCTGTAGTGAGAAAATGAGGCTGCCATGATTCCGCAGGTACAGGGGAACCCCAGTACAAGAGATTTATGTAGGGGCGAGTAGATGCATGACAAGGGAGAAGAATCTGTCTCTCTCTCATCAATGTCTAACAAGCATAAGAGTCTTCAGTTAATTCTACATTATTGCAGAACAATACTACGTATTTCTTCAGGCATTAGTAATTCCACAGTCAGTCACCTTTGACAGAAACAATATCAGATTTCAGAAGTTTCCAAGTTACATGTCCAGGTTGTGCTCCAGCTGCAATTTGGAGACTGCTGTAGAAAGTCAGCTAGGACACAGCTTCAGTTACCCAATCATAAAAGTTTCTTTCTGCAAGTCAGTATTGTAGCAAACCCTGCCCATAGCTGTTGATTTTGCTGGGGATATTTCTAAACAGGGTCTAAGGAAGAGATCTTTACCATTTCTGACCCTTAAAGGCCTTGCAGCACTTTTCTCTTGATGATCAGCACAAGCATCCTGTCCAGATTCAAGTAACTACACTCTCTTTTCTGATCTTGTAATACATACTCTAATTTTCTCTCCCTCATCCCTAAAAAAAAAAACCCTTTCAAACCTCTGTGCTATTTTCCAGTGCTGAGTTCCACTCCAGATGCAGATTCAACTCTTCAAAGAGTGTTCACTATACAATTTGCCTAGTCAGGTAAGTACAATTTACATAATATTTTGAAACATGTAGGCATAGAAATAGAAGCTCTCCCTGTAGAAAGCGACCACCAATGAAGTACAGAATATACTTTGAACAATAAATAAATGGACAGGTAACAGGGGACAGTGAGACACTAGCATTCATACCAAGAAAACCTAGTGTCCCAGAACTAAAATTTTGTTGGATATATGATTTTACTAACCCTTTCACTACAAAAGTTTGAATGTCCTAGCATGGAATACTCAAAAGCCAGGAAAGAATATCCTAAATAAAGAGTCAGTAACAGATGACACTTTTGCTGAGCAACAGATTATTAATTTAATGGTTTTTTTCTCTTCTTTTTTAAGCCTTCCCCCACTGTTTTCACATCACCATTTTTCCCATCAGCTTACCCACCGCCTTGTTACTGGATTACAACAATAGTTTTTTAATAAGCTAGTTGGAACAACATGAGTCACTTGATAGTAGGCAAAATATTTCAAGAGGGGGTAGGGTGAGAGGCCAGAAAGAAGTCTCCTAACCCGCTCTGTGTTCTGCAGATTAAAACTTTTTCAGATTCTGATGAGTAATCAATCGCTTTCCAGAAATATGCCACATGAAAATAAACCAGCATTTTAATCACTACATCCCCAGAGCAAGAAAAAGAAAAATGTGGCTATTTTCATCCACAAGAGTAAAGACAACTCTGAGGGAACAGGTGATCTCACCCAGTGAGGACACAAAAATTGCCAGATTTCTGCTCCTGTGAAAGTGTCTAGAAACACCCTGAAAAAGGGCACCAAAGCCACCAGCTAATGTCAGCCCAACACTGAAGGAACACACTCTGTATACTGATCACCTCCTTAATTCCGTGTACTGCAGAATTTAGGAACGGTGGAAATAACACCTTATGAAGAAACAAATTATTGCCCACTGTACAGTGAAGCACTGTAAATTGTATTAACTTACCATAGCTGCATCATCAAACATTTGTGTAGTAGGCAGCTTTTGACGCTACGCAAAAACACATGATATTCCCTCTCACACTTTGCCTTTCTCACACACGTTTCATTAGTTTCAAATCAAGGTAATGCTATTTTTGACTATTGTGACTCTGGCACTTTGCTCAAGAGCGACATGACTTTAGAAATGCTGGCACACAGATAAATCCAGGTTACCTGATGTTGGGCTGGACATGGAGGCTGCAGCTGGCTTTCGTTTCCTCTTGATGTCCCTTGAACATGGTGGTCCCAGGTGTACATTTGCTTGCCTGTAGAGAAATTAAAACAAATTAAACTCTGTTCCAGTATCACCTTCCTGTAAAACTCTGGCCAATCACCCTCCAACTCCCATCTTCCCATTCTTAACTAGTAGGCAGCACAAATAAAAAGCTTCTCAGGAAAGTTTTGCTCACATTCTTCATTAATATACCATTATGCTCCCATTTCTTTTAAGAGCTCACACACATAAACTGCTCATAATTATTTCTTAGCCTTTAAAGGATCTGGTTTTGTATTAACTTTAAAACAACTCTTTGCATAAGTAAAGATGTGATCAAGCAGTGGTACGACACATGTCCTACCATTACTTCTATAAAGTGTAACAAACGTCTGCAAGATTGCTCTTTAAAGAAATTGCATGATACTTGCTCCCCGATTCAGAAACTATTCTGCAACCTATTTAGTATTGTAGAGTCAGCTTAGAATGTACCTATATTCCAAATGTCCATGCATATTGTTTCCACTGCAGGAATAAATTCATAAAGTTAGGAATGCAAAACTGTCTCATGCATTTTCAAAATTATGATTTCCTTATCAAAGTGCTGTGAAAACAGATGAATCTAGCTTATGGTAATACAGTCTTGCTGCACTTGTAAACTGGCTGAAAGGCATAATCTGTCCTGGTCATATCAACTGTTAAGTCTGAAGCCTGCTGATGACCACTTCAGTTTAACCATTTGCCAATTAAGAAGAAACCTGCATTATTGGGACTGACTTGAACTGAGCACCCCTTCAAGTTCTAGACATAGGAAGAAGAGAAGTTTAATTCAGAAAAGGCAGTCTTGGCAGCAGACCAGAGAACTTTCTCAAATACAATCCATAATGAATACAAATGCATAATTTAGCAATGACGTTGGGTTCAAATCCCTGCTTTGTCTGAGATAACAGAGTTTCTTTGGCAAGTTCCTTGGTCACTCTCTGCATCAGATCTGACATGCAAAATGCAGAACTACAGTGCAAATAAAATCCATTAAAGATTGTGAGGTGCTTACATGGTGTAAAGATTGGAACCATATAAATTTTGACGATTAAGTGATGAAAAGCTGCTGTGTCTTTCAAGCTTGTTATTTTGATTTAAAAAAAAAAGTTTAACAAACACATTTATCAAGTACTGAAATCTTTTACAGATAACAAAAGGAAAAGTTCACGGCTTCATATTTCCATGCCAAAATAGCTTTCCAAAAAAACCCCCAAAAAAACCCCCCAAAAAAACCCCAACAAACAAAATTTTAGATACTGAATTTATGCAAACCCAAAGTGTGCTGTTGTAGCTACACGGAACAGCATAGGGAGTACAAAAAATTTCCTACACCAGCCAAGACTATAAAATGTTTGAAAGCTGCTGGGTCTACCTACTTACCTGTAACAAATACGCAACCACAAAATAAGAAAGAAGTATCTACTGTTCTGTCTTCTCACCTAAAATTCAAAAGTTCTGCAAGAAGACTACAAGATCTGTCATCTAAATACGACATTAAGGAATAGTTTCAAAAATTTTTAAATTGTGCTAAGTTTCACTGACAGCAAATTTTTCGAATCTGGGAACGCATATTAATATAACCAGACACAGAAGACTCGTGAAATCATGAACTAAAGGCTTTCAAAAATACCAGCACACCTATAGACTGCATATTCAAGTCTTGTGTTTGTACATGTAAAGTGAGTAACCTCTAAGTGAGTTCGCATATGCTAAAAACTGCTTTTGCACATGATTATGATAGTGGCTATATAGTATTTTAGCACAGTTCTACCATGTATTCTGAAACATCTAGGCACACATAGCCCAAGGAAAAGATAGTCTCAATCAAGTGGAACTTCAGTTTTTTATTTTGCATCAGTGACACAGTATTAGATTACTAACTAGATGACTACCTAATTATATGTAATAATCCAACTCATTTTATCACATAATAAGGTTCCCTTTTTAATTTTATGAACTTACACCAACATTAGCCAACTGATCCTTGGTGGAGAATCACTACGGACTAGGAAAGAAGCATGCACGATCATTTCCGAGAGACTGTATGTAATTTTTCCCAGTTCAAATATTACAGCTAGATTTCGAATAAGAGCTTCTGGTTCTCAGCTCCATGCTCAAACCACATGTACCCTTACCTCATGATTACACAGGGGTTAAAAAAAAGAAAAATGGAAAAAGAATATGAGAATCTCAGAATCCCTTCTTGTAGTGAAAGTAAAGGCAAATCATACTCCAGCTGGAGACTAATAGCAAGGACACTGTATCTAGCAGCCCTGCCTCTAACACACAAAGGCTCAGAGGTCATAAATTGTCTCTGTAACATGTATTTCATTCAGGTTTATCCTTATTGATCACCCACACTTCAGTTAGTAAATCAGGAACCTATTGATTACTCACTGGCTCTGACTGACCTGGTGGTAAAAGTGTCAGTTTCAAGCAGCTGGTGCGCTTTACGGGCACCATAAATCTGCATACAGGGAATCTCCAGGTGGCAGGTACCTTGGGAGAGAGAGGAGTAGAAGAATGCACGCGGGGATGATAGTCCTCATTAAGACATAGACAGAAAGGGTGTCTGAGGTATAATTTACGAAATATGCATTTTTTGGTAGATACCACACTTTTCAATCTAAATTTCTAATCACTAGCTCGCATACAGGTGCTATATTGGTAGGAGAATAGAATTGGTGAAGCCCAGTTTAACAACAAACTCCTAGACTCCAAACACCACTGGGAAAGTCAGGTCATGGGTATGCGCAGCACACAACACTGCAGTGGACAGGCTGAACTATAAATTGTGGAAGTCTCACTGACAGGCTACAACCATGAACTAGTTTTTCTGCCAAAGTTGAATTTTAACAACTCTTCTGTAAAGTTTAAAAATTACTCTGAAGTAGAATAGAACAGGGCTGAGAGGAAAGGCTGACAGAAAATGCACATTTGTGCATTGTCACAAGCCCCTCTGTGAAGAAGTCCGAGGCACAAAGCTTTGTGGCATGAAAGATCTGGGCCTAAACTGAGAAACTAGAATGGTACTTACTCTGCCCTTATTGGCTTTCAATCTCTTCTGCTAGGCTTCCGTACTTTCTTCAATATTGCTTCAATATTGCACAAACAGTAAAGTGAAAATAATTGCCTAGTTACTTTTGGACTACGGCTGGTTGATCATAGGAAAAAAACAAAGTCACAGTGCTCAGTCACAGTTGGATCTGCTAGGTGACCAGAGACTAATGTGAAAACCTAGTTTACAGTCTAGAGAGGACTGAAATTCTAACCTGGGAAGAGAGAAAGTAGAACACACCTGGAGAGACAAAGCAGGATCCAAAGTGAAGCTACGCTGATGGCTGCAATATATTCAACTCACACTGCAGCTTCTCACTGCCAGGAGTTAGTGAATGAAAAATTACATACATATAGAAAAAATGGTTTTATATGAAAAGTCGTCTATAGTGTCTTTCTGACAGTGATGATTTTTTTTTTTTTTTAATCACAAGCTAGAGAAATTATCCAGGAAATACAGATTTGTCTCTTGTTCTTAACATAGTACTTAAGGTACCTGATTCTGCATGCAGGTCACGCTGGAAAAAAAGCGGGCTTTGCTACGCAAAAAGCTGAGATTCATCGCTGTCTCTAATGTGTCAGAAGTAATGCTTCCTTTTCTTTTCTACATATTTATTCTATAACTTCAGTTATATTTTTTTTTAAATAACTGTAATTGCATACACCAGACTCCTATCTCACTCCTACAGTTCAAGGTGACCACGTGCTGGACTATAGGGTCACAGGAGCTTGCCACTATTTTACATCTACCACAGGGTTTTAACAGAAAATTAGGATTGGCAGTACAGTTGGAGACAATAGAGAGAAGCAGCAGACACCAGCCCACAAAGAATGCTACTGAACAGCATCAGGCCCCTGAAACCTTCACTATCTGTGAAGAAAAGTCTAGATTGTAAAGTGATGTCCAGTCTCTCAAAATCTGGGGCAAAAACCACCTCAGTCTCACACTGGAGGTCTCTGAGAAGACCCTACAGAGCTAACTGTGACAGCCTGTGGCCTTCTTGGAGGCAGGAGGCACATCGCACACTTGGGGGTGTATGCCTCCCACTGGAATCTCACATCATCCAGCTTCTCTGCTGTCAATCTTTATTCTAACCCTATCCTTGGAGGAAGCAAAGCACTTGGATTATGTAGTGAGAGGCAGACATTAATCTACTGTCATACAAACAAGGGATGCTATTATCCTCATGTTAAAGTAAATGTTCAACAGAGACAGCCTTCTAACAAGGATACTGCTACTAAAACTCCACACAACCCAGCTGTTGCTGCTGTGATGCTATATTCCCAGCAAACACACGCCAAATAAAAGGCTCTCTCTCTAAGCCCTGAAGTGTTACCTGAGGCTGTTGATGGTGGCTTCACAAAATTAATAGTAAAAGCAGAGTTCTTCCTCCTCTTTGACTATAGAGCCAGCTGGGCACCAAAGTCTGATCCGCACATAACAGGTGTAAATCACTACAATTTGCTCATCCAATCTGCACGCAAAGCTCCCATGCCTGCAAGTGGTTCTTGCTATCACATCACATTGCAGGTATCTCCTGTGCATTGCAGAGTCTCCTCTGCCCTGCAGAGCCTCATGGGAGAGCTTCTAGAGCACATTTTCAGATTCCAGAATCACTAACACAGGCAGCTCACCTCTTAAATCATCATAGGTCTTCATGCAGCAGCAGTCTGTTCCCCAAGTAAGCATTCTAATGACATAGCAATTCCACTCCTAAAAGTCTGTGTGGCAAATGCAAGCGAACACATTTTCTTCTAGTTTTCCAGGCAAGCATTCTAAGCAGAGACGATGTGATCCCATATATTGCATTCTCTATTTTCACACTGAATCACATGATATCTGTGCCAGAAAGAGTCCTAATATTTGCCAGACCTGCTGAGTACACAGATTTGATAATGGCAACATATTTTACAGGCAAAGAAAGCAATAGCGAGTAAACAAAATTCTGAAGCCAAGGGGAATTTATTTTTCACTCCAGAGAATTAGGATTCACCGAAATGGGAGCATTAGGCCTCAGACAACTGCATGTGACTCTAGGTTGATAGCTGCTGTTCATTGCATGCCTGTCAGAAGAATTCAGTTATATCCCCAACTGCAATATTAGCCAGGCTTTAGCAAAGGAAGACATGAAAGTGCTCCAGCTAAATGGAAAAAGAGTTTTACGAAAACTAGGCAGAAAGATGCCTAAAGCAGTTGACAGCAGACATTTTTACAGAAAGACAAGTCCAGGAGGATGAAGATGTGTTTGCATGGAATGAACTGGATACTGTCCTGGTCAAGTGGGCCAGCATGAAATTGTGAACATCCATTCACGCCTTCAGCTGCCCAAGGAAAGGCTTGACGTTGCGGGCAATCCCTACACTGCCACATGCTTGGCTAACAGGCAGAAATGTCAGGAACTCTGCACAGATACAGAAGAGAAAGAACAAGATTTACTTTGACGAGCATATTTCCAGAGCTGGAACTAGAATTAGAGACATTCAAGCCTTTTCACTCTAACAGCACCACAAAATCCAGGGTATGGAGCAACTAGCAGTTTACTAGGAGATGATCACTCACCCCTTTACATCTTTATCCCGTGTTCCAGGTAAGATGAGAGACTTGCTTCTAAACCCAACTAAACTCTAGGTTTACGGTTAATATTAACTGAGAGTACATGCAAAGCGATTTTCTTCAATTCATCCGTACTGTTCAGAGGTCTCTCTAATTCTTCAAATTTCCACCTTCAACATCTACTTGCTATCTGAGGTCCACTTTTCCTATGACCTCCAGTGGGAACATTTAATTGATTTTTTTACCCATAACCCTATTTTCAAGGCTAGGCAAAAAATAAAAGGCATTAGGCACAATTCATCTTCTACCTTCCTCTCTTATTCTGCCTGCTATTCAAACTCCAGTTGAAGGGAACATTGGCTCTAGGCTCTTCTGAAACTCTTACCCTGCCTCAAGGAAATAACATTCCACAAACCAACAACCTGTAATATCTTCCCACTGATAGACCCATTGAATAACCAAAATCTAATAAGATATTCCACTTGAGCCTGTAAAAAATCCTCTTAAGTACAAGGAGTTTAAGAAGAAAATCCTGTTCAGACCACTCCTTTCTCCCAGAAAGGCAGACGGGCAGAGGGGAAAGAGGGGAAGGATCACCTGGGCTGTCCATGCAAGTCTCTACTTGCTTGCTTTTAACAGCCTGCATCGTCAAGCTGAAACCTTAACAGACAAGACATGATTAGCAAACGCTTTGTGCTCTTAAAGGAGAGTAATTATAGGCATGTGAAAAAAAGGAAGAGATCCCTGAGGTACTCTTCCTTGCATGCCTCCCGAGAGGCAACACGGCCATTAAAAATTCCATGATGAAGAGGAAAAACAGCCTGGGAACAGCCAGGAGGCAATACAGCAAATTAATACAGCAGCCGTCCCTCGGGAGGACTGCAAGAAAGCAGGAAACTCTCCTCGCTTCACAAAATAAAATTATACCACTAATGATAACAGTCACCACACACACACAACTGCTTCTAATGATGGGTGTGAAATTCCCAGTGCCGTGCATACACTTTGAATGAAATCTCTTCTCATCACAGACATAAAGCAAGAAAGGTAATCTTGGTAGTGTACAATTTATACAGCTTTTCAAATAAGACTTCTCGAGGAACCCTCCACATAGAACCTCCTCCTTGACACTGAAAAGCCTTTCTTGAACATCCCCAACTGTGCTCAGTATTCTGGCCTTCAGCTCTGCTTAAACGAAGCACTGGGTTACCAGTCTTCCCAATGAACTGCACTTCCAGATGAACTGCACCAAAATCCACCACTGAGACAAAGAACCACTGTTTCCGTGGGAGAGAAAAGACTCCACCTGGTAACTATACTCCATTGGACACATTTGTGATAGTAGAAAATAGAGAGAGGTAATTTTGCATGGCATGGTGAGCATCACATTGAAGAAATTGGATGTCCAGAACATCAAGACAGTTTCTTCTCCAATACATTTCATATCATTCTCGGGGGATTAGCTTCCCCCCTCCCCCTCCCCATTCTGACAAATTTCTGAGTAGAGTTTCTCCAGGATGAGGTGCAAGTGGTTAGGGGCTTACTAAAGCACAAACTACTGGAATTGACTCCACCTACGGCAAAAGAGGAAGATGTTAACTGGGGCAATGGCTGAACAGCGCTTACAGAAATCACCTGAACCTCCTGTAAGAAAATGAGACTACTAATAGGCTTAGCTCTTGAAGCACCTAAAGAACAACTATTGTCAAGAAAAAATTTCTGTGAAGGAACAATTTCCTTCTGTGCCCTTGGCAGCATCTTTACACAATGCAAGCACCTTGCACTGAAGAGTTCAATCCTTGCAACATACATGGGGCCGCATAACACATTCATTCTTTCCATATTTTTTTCTCCTATAAAGATTCCTGAGCACATTTTACACTAAAACAGGAACTACTTTCTCAAACTACAGGCACTTAAAAACACAGCTGCCTCTGGGATGGGACAACTTCTCTGCCAACGTTCAGTAACAATTCAGAGGAAGGAACAAGCATATATTCATTGGTTAACTACACTACATATTCAGCAAAACCAAGCAAACATGATCCCTCTAAGTTTAGAAATCCCTTGCCATAACAAGTAGCTTTGGAAAGGGCCTTCACTGATCATCATAAAGGTAGAGATTTTGCCCTGTTTGAATTTGTGAGCAGGATTTGTCTAGCTCTCCTTTCTGGAAAATGAACTTCTGTAGAGCACTAAGTAAAACACTTGAGGCACAAGAAAGGTTATCCTAGCTGTAAATGAAGAGACAATCAATCTTCTTGCTTCATGGGCACAAAACATCCCCAGACTGGGGCAAAGGCACAGAAAGGAACCAATTTGCTGATGCCCAATCTTCTGAATTCTTTTTATTCTCATCCAGTTGAATGTTTAAGAGCTGATTTCTTCCTCCCTCCCCCTTTCCAGCTTTAACATGCTGGCTACAGCAGCATGAGGTCATGGTGCGACATCACAAAATTCCCTGCAGAAGCCAGTGGGAGGAGAGGCTTTGCTGGGTGGGTGCCAAGCTTTCGTTCAGACACATACAACCTCAGTACATTTTTCATGCTCTATTTGCTAATTAACAAGGGAAAGAAAACCATGAAACTGAAAGTCCAGACGTTTCTTTCAGGTTTGGTCCTTCGTACAAGCACATAAGCAGAATTGTGTCCCAAGCAAGGCTTTGTCTCCTTGCACAGGGAGTTGCCTTTAGATAGTCACCTGCAGCACAAGAAGAGGAGTCACCTCCAAGGCTTGAATTTAATTTACGATTAGTCAGCAGAAGGTGCCTGAATAGCATATTAACCCCAACTATGCAGACTCAAATATACCTCAACATTTGGCCAGACCAGATCTAAACTTCAGCTATCGCAATAGAGAGACATCAAGCCATTAGAGGTCACCTCAGGTGAGTTCTGAATCTATTCTGAGGGTCTATTTTAGGCACCCAGGATACCAAAATCCCTCAGCACGTCACCCACACGAGCTTGTCAGCACTTTCCCCCTCATCTTGTTCCAATTTTAGTAGTGGGCAACAACACTATGCCCATTTGTACCTATACAACAGACTTGCAGCAACTCACTGCATCACATTTATTTCTAAAAGCACAGTATGTTCTGCCTGTCTGTCATACACTGTTTCATATACTCTAAGCACTTAGTGTGTTGAGATGCTCAAATAATCTGCATTGGTGTGTTTTATGATAAGTTTGAACACAGGTCTCCTAGGGGAAAGTCCGTTAACTTCCAGGTCCGTGAGTATTGTTCAGACCACACAGTACTACTGAAGATAACCATGGGAGGGAAGTGAGACAACCCCAACAGAGCAGAGCAAGGGAGTTACCTGGCAGTGCAGTGTGCTGGTGAGCATCTTCGGTGGGAAGCATCAGCAAGCACATCCAGAGAGTACAGAGGAGATAATGGATTGAACTGGAAAGTCAAGAGATTTTATTTAAGCAAAGTGTTAAAAGAAATAGTCTCCAGATACAGCTGCTCAGATCTATTCCCTATAGTTGTTCATACAGTATAAGGAGACCTTTCCAACACATCAAGGGGTGAGACTAGGCGAGAACGGACTCTCACTTCAGACAAAAGGCTAGCACAGGGTGCAACAACAAATCTCATAACCATCTTCTCACAACAGTCTTAAAAGCACACTCCTCTTTCAACTCGCATTATTACAAATGCTGGTTAACTAAGACCATACTCAAAGAGCTCTACTGCTGCATACCATGAGCAAAAAGTCTGCCTCCCTTTCGGGAAGCCTCTTGTCTACCCTCACATTGTAGAGAGAAAAGTTACTGTTACGAATGGTGTAAGCATAGAACTTCCCACAGAGCAGTTCCAGTATTCCCTATGGTCATATGTGTCACTGAAACAGACCTCTAGAAGACTCAGGCCCACCAGGTTCGGTTCACAATGAGCTCCCAATTCATTCCACAGCAAGTGAGCTGCTCCTCCCACTCCCAACTGACTTCACATGCTTTCTTTGCAAACTGCTTAAAACAAATTTCTGAAACACTGCATGATCAGGCTAATTTTAGACCCCTTGTTAGACACACACTAGACAAATCCTGAAGGCATCAAACCTGTGCAAGACAGCTTGTTGTAGAAGACCCAACTCTTAAGATTTTTTTTAAAGGTCTGGACAGAAATGGAATAATCTAGTCAATCAATGCATGGAGCAAACTTTGCTCAATATGCAAATAGAAGGTTTAGACTAGTAGTTTCTCTGGGGTACCTGCATTACACTTCCATTCAGCATCTCCTCTTTATTTATAACTCACACCACAAGCAGGAAATTCATTTTCATCTGCTTTGCAAAGTGCTACACCAACCTCCAGAACACTTTTCTTATATTACTAGGATTACTGATGCATTTTTAAGTAAGGACAAATGAATAATCCACAGCTGTCATAAAAGCTATCTGCAACTCTAGAACTCAGTACTAGGCTTTTGCCTTCAACCTTTCTGAGAAAGAAGAAGCACTATGCACCACAAAGCTGCTGCTATCAGGGAGCTCCTCCTTAAGTTAGACTGTTAGTTTACTGTCAGTGAATTAGCACTGCAACTGCACAGTAGGGGAGAATCACCAGCAACCCTCTGTAGCTGATTCAAGTTCATTTAAGAAAGACAAAAGTAATTTGTTTTAGTCATTTTAAAAATTATGTAGTTATCATTCTTATTTTGAGCAATATGAAAGTGGTATGTGAAATGTTCTCATTAACGGAAAATACACAATTGCACAAAGGCCTGCAAATTATTTCTTGCCATATATGTATTTTTAGTCACCTGAAGTGTAAAACAGATTTCAATTCTACTGCTCACGAACTACAAACCAACTCGCAAAGGAATAGAAGGGAGTGTGCATGGCTAGGAACACTGTTATAATACAACTGCTCAAATGGAAGATCCTTTTTGCTTTCTGCTATCAAAAACCCGAGCTCTTATATCTTAAGTAAAAAAGCCTCCTAACACTGAAGTTATGAAAGACTTACTGAAGAATATAAAAGTGCATACACAAAAGAGTTTCAGTTAAAAGAATGCCTATTTCTCTTGCTTATCACCTCTCACATTTTCCTGTTACGGCTGCTATTTAACTACAATCAGCCTACCATTTTTTTCCCTTCTCTGTTGATGAGACTATCAGGTAGAAGCCTGAGCCAAACAAGACAAAACAAAGCATTTAAAAAGAGAAAAATGTTCCAATTCTTACAGAATTTTGAGAGGCCAAAGTTCCTCCTGCAAGAGGCATTTTCCCTCCCAACCACTGTCAGAGAGGAAGGCCTACACTAACCTGAAACAGGGAGATAAACAGAAGGAGTTCCTGAGCTATTCAGTTTAAATAGACAATATAATGCCAGAGACATGGGTTGTGTTCAAAGCCCAGAAGACATCAAGACATCAGTTACCAGAATGAGAAGGGACAGGGCTGCCTTACCTCATGTGCACAGGCCACAGTGTGTGGGAAATCAGAAGCCGGCACTTTGTTCTTTCTGGAGAGAAGGAAACCAAGAAAATAAAAAAGGTAGAGCAGAGTCAGCTTACCTGGTTGCGATCTCTCTTCCCCATGGATGGTAACCAAAAACTGGAAGGAGGCAGAGTCGGAAGGACAGGTGCGAGCAATGCCAAGGAAGGAGCAAACACGGGGGGAAAAAAAAGGAGGGTTGGGGGTAAGAAGAGAAGGGGAAGGGAAGGACAAAGATGGAGGGAGAAGGAGAAAGATTAAACATCAGCAGGACTCATATTAAAAACAACGAATTTCAGATCCAAGGAAGAAAACTGGATACCAACAGCTGGTGAAGGCTGGACCCACTGCACTACAGTTAAGAGGTGCCACCCTTACCTATCCACTGCTCAACAACAATAGCGTTAGAGGGATGCCAAAGGATACGCACCATGACTATTTCTGGTGCTGACTACAATTTAAATACACTAACTGAGGAAGGAGACAGAACACCAAAGAAAGAGAAAGCAATTTCGCAGCTGCCTTGTCAGCATCATTTCTGCAATCTGGGCATGCACCCATAGTGTGACTCCACACAGAAGCTTTTTAAATAACTAACATATAGGGCTCAGTCTTCTCATACCGTGCAGAAGATCTGCAGTTATTGCAATGGCACATTGTAAGGGAGGGGGAAAGAAAAAGCTGACTGTAACCAAAAGGGCATTTGAGCAGTCTCCACACACTGGGGCAGCCTTATAAACAAAAGGGAAGTCAGCAATTGCAAATAAAATGGAGAAGCCATCAGTAAAAGACTGTCTCCCATTCTACAGGTCACTGCATGCTTAAGTTACCACCCAGCTCTTCATTCCCTTCAGTCATAGGAGGGAACAGGACCCTATAGTCTTCCTCCCCCCCCAAAGTTCTACACAATAGCTAGTTTTAAGGGCCTTACTCTTTCTGGCGCGGATCACTAACAATATGACCTAGCCTCTCGGTGCCCAGAGTGCTCATGGAGGTCTCCTGAAACACAAAGACAGGTAAAAGGTTGCAGACTCTCACACAGTGAGCAGACATAATAGTTTGCTGCTGCCAGTAAGATCTTACTCCCCTGGGCCACACCCTTTCCTTCCCAGCCCACTCTCAGCTAAACATATTCACCCTCTCCTTTTAGAGCCTCAACTGAGCTGATTTAACTAATCAGAATGGCAGAAAATCAGTCCGGTTTATTTGTGGGGCTTGTTTTTTATTATTTTAGTGATGATATTTGCTTGCACAGGGGCGCACCAAGGACTGGACCAGTACAAAGTATGCAGCACAAGGATGCAGTTAAGAACAGGGGAAATAGCTGATAAGCGCTTATTTCCATGTTGCTGGGGTCAGCTGGGCCAGAAACAGGCTGAGAGACAGGACATCACACTGTCCCACTAACAATGGGGATTCACCAAGCACAGGTAAATGAAACAAGGAGTACGCATGAAGCTTTTGCTCTTTCTGAAAGCAGCAATTCAGCAGAAGGACCTCTAGCAGCTAAAGAAAAGGTAGATCCTAGGAGAAAGGACTTGCTCTGGGAGCACGCTTCTCACTGCGAGACACTGCCCTGTGTATGTGCTTGATGCTGGCATACACGTACACACGCAGCCTGAAGCACCAGCTGTTCATACCTGCATAGCAACTACCTCCAAGAAAGAAATATACTTTGTAGTAAGGGTCTGAAGATGAGGGTAAAAGGCTTTCACAGGTAAGATTCTTCACAGTTTGTGCCAGGTACATAGGCAAAACACACTCAAAGTTTGGGGGGAGTTGTAGCAGCAGGGGTGAAAGATGGGCTATTTGTTACAGCAGGAAAATTATTAACTTAAAGTGCCGTAATGTTTAAATTTACGGTTTATTACTGTGTAAATTACAAGCCGTACTTTTGGTAATTAGCAGCTCGCTGGCGGGGAGCTCTGAATGAAACTCATTATTTATGATTACAATTTAGAGAGAGATGGGGAAGGGGGAGCAGTGACCTCTGCTGCAAATGACAAAGATCCCTTTAAGGTGATGAAGATGAATTAAACAAGTAAATATTATCCTTCTCATTTGGATCATTAGATGTGCTGCCAACAGGCCCAGCCACTTGCAGGTGGCCTGAGGAACCCTACCCAAAGCCAGTCTCTTGCCAGCTGAGGATTCATCTTTTAAATGCTGGTTACAACTAAGCAAGGTGAGTGGAAAAAAGAAGGGGAAAACAAGGATCTTTCAAGTGTGACTGAACAGAAGGAAGAAGTCACACTCCTCTAGACTCTGGGCCCCTCTAACACACCTTGCTAACAGACTCTCTAAAGCCAGTCAGGTCAGAATATATGCCAGTATTTTCAAAAGCACGGAGCATATCCCAATAAAAGTAAAGCCAAACACAGTCAACACCTTCCTTCTCAGAAACATCTTTTACAACAGACAGCAGCACTCAACACTCCAAGATCCAGACCCGACCAGATGTATCCCTCCCTCTTTTAGACAGACATCTGCAAAATATTGCTTATTTCCTTAGAAACAGGACTAATATTTTGTTTGTTGTTTGCCCTACATATAATAAACCTAGACAATGGCTCTGGGTAACTTTGCATTATTGCGTATACCCTTTTATTCTTCTGTCTCCCCACTAAAAATGCAACAGCTAAAACCACCTTCCTTTGCTGCCATTCATATCAGTCTACTTCCCTATCTAAAATTTAGCCCTCCTTCACCTTTGAGTCACCTCTTTGCCCTTGTAGTCTCAGAGATTATTAGCATGCACAAGCCTCATACCATCACCTTTTTCCCCTACATTGTCTAAATCTTCTTGATATTTATACTTCCTGTCATTCATCTTCAGACCTCCTTTCATACTGCTTTTAGCACTGATCAACTGTCTTTGCCACTCCGAACCTGCCTTAAAATCCACTTAGTCACTCAATCAACTTCTGACAGTCAAAGCAGTTAAACAAATCAAACAATACACAAAATAAAAAGTGTACAGGGGCCCTTTCTGCAGAAAACAATTCACATGATATCTTAGAATAGTACTTCAGGACTGATCAGCATTGGAAATACAAAATTATTATCCTGCAAAAGGGAATACCTTGCCAACAAGCCTCCTCCGACCTTTTCGGAGACAACGGGCAGCAGCTCCTGGAAGGCGATTCAGGCGAGCATGAAATCCTGAAAACCAAACCCAGAAAAACTGAGCGACAAATACAGAAGATTCTTCCTGACAAAACTACCAGGAAAAACAGTTCAGTGGTCAAATCAGATCCTCTGTCTCTTGTTTCACAATCTGCAAGAGGTAGATATGCCAATTTATTCACAAATCAAATAAAATCCCTATTTAAAAAAAAAAGAGACTCAAGAACGTGGGCAACTGGTATGAGTATTTCAGTATCCTCTCCAGTAGTGCAGCTATTTTTAATCGGATCATTTAAAAAAACAGATCACTAATATCAATTTAAATTGCAGCACCTATGAACAGAATCTACTCCTGCCATCACATCAAAAGTTCTCAAACACACGGCATTCCTTATGGACCTCACCTCTCTGAGCTGGCCGCGAAGGCAAAAGGAACGTGGAATCTGAGAGCTTGTCCAGGCCTGAGTCAATCCGCTCCACTTCAGATCGGTGGTCAGCTCCCCACTTGGGAAGAAGGTTGGGGACAGTGAATCCTGGAACACATTCTCCTTCATAAAACCAATCACTTTGCTCATCATCTCCTAAAGAAATAGGATGGAATTAGCCAGAAGTAACATCAATGAGCCCTGTGACAGTCCCACAAAATACTACAGGTAGGCATTTCTGGATGTCAAACAGCTGAAGTCTCATTAAGAATTCCTTCCTGAAGACCATTATATTTGTATTCTGTTTCAATGATCTGCAGTAACCATGGGGCCTCACTAAATGCTTTAAAATATCCAACTCATCAGTCTACAGAATTAACTCTTTATAGACCTGCCTAGGGCAGCTTTAGCACTCTGTTGCGACTGCATCTCAACCACCTTAGTTCAATGTTGTGTGATGTCTTATGCACAACTCTTTCTCTGAAGTAATTACGGTGACAGAGTAGAGGCCAATCATTTGGCACACATTATAGGCTGTCACAGGAGAGACTTCACAACAGGAGAAGACCAGGCTTATGGACTAAGCAAAAGGAGCATACTCACTGATGAGAAAGATCCCTAGTCTCCTAAGACAGCAGCTAAGAGGAAAACACACAACTATTAGAAATGATCACTCTGAGTGAAAGTACTAACCATGCTGTGAGTCTGTCTTAATAAAAATTTCTTAGAATCTGTAAGAACTACAAACCCTCTGCAAACTAGAGCAGCAGCAACAGAAGTCATGACCAAAGTCTTCATAAAGCAGGGTCACTGTAATTAATGCAGTTGCAGTCTAAAACTGCATCAGACACCATTCATGGTAAATCTGCCTGGCCAGAAATCTCCCGAGAGCAGTAGCACGTGAGCAGCGTAAGAAAACAGCAGGAAGAGGGCAAAGAACCTGACACGCTTAGCTTTTCAGTAGCCCAACTAACAAACAGTCCCATGTAATTGCAAGGTATTTCACCTTGCCTTAAAAAACTAACACACCTGACTTAGGGAAAACTCTCATTTGCCTACCATTAAGTCTCAACTCAAGCATCCCCTCTTACTCTCCTTTCCTCACCAAGATACATTATTCCTGACTGAAGTCCATTATGCCTACCCACACATCTTGCCAGGCAAAAAAGAAGAAAAAAAGAAAAAATACAAGAAAAAGAAAAAAACTCATCCTAGGAAGAATGCTGCAATCTTGAACATAACAGAAGAAGCAATACCCAAAACCATCTCCAATCACCGACAGGTAGGACAGCCAGAACACTTCATTCCAAAGATCTGAAATTGCTTTTTACTTCTGTGATATGTCAGTTGACCTAGCATGCTTGTGACAAATATATTTTAAAATATAAATATCCCTACCCACCTTATAGTAAATTAAAACTAAGTAATGTTGGATAGTTCTTCTAAGTGATCCTAATTTGTGCAAAAATATCCCTCCAGTTTTGGATCTATAAGCATAGTGCACTGTCATATCTCAAATCACTACTTTCACAAGACAAACTTTAGCAATCAGGATCGTATGCTAATACTGCAGTAACTTTCACCGTGAGAGATCCCAATGCATTTAACAAAAAAAGAAACACCAAAAAACCCCACAAACTTACAATCAAATTATAAACTAGGACCACTCTCTGCTCACAGAAATGCACTGGTAGCTGGAATTGCAAAGACAACCTATTTAACTAGCAACAGCACAAATATTACATGACATAACCTCAAAAGAAGGGGGGAAAAAACCCTCTACATTCAATTTAAGTACACTGCTATCTTAAATTTCCCATTATTCAGTTTGGAATTGTACTAGAAAACTATTTCTAAGATGATGATCTCTGACCCAAAAAAAAAAAAAAAAAAAAAAAAAGCTTTATGCTCTTTCCATCTCACTGAAGTGGAGAGCTGTTGTTTATTATTTACTTTATGACTAGAAATTGTGTAAAAAAAGGAAAGGGAGATGTTTCTTATTTAACCTGAAAGTGCAACAACATTTTTTAACCCTTTTTAACATAACTGTAAGATAAAACATCTTGGCCAGAAAGCTATTATAGTATAAACTGTTTGAACAGACAGAGGCCTGATGACGAGAATGTCAAATCTCTTCTAGTACCTAGACAGGGAAGGCTGTAATTGGATTTTATTAATTTATTTAAGTAGTATATTCTACATGCTCTTATATACTGGGTATCCTACTTCCAGTAGCAGCCAAAAATTAATGCCTAAAACAGGGTATAAAACCAGGACAAGTATATAGGGCAAGCATATAGATAAATGTATATATATATATATACTTATCCAGTCTACATCAATCTTGCCTCAGGTGATGAAGTTCAACACTTCAGTCACCACCCTGCTTCATCATCTGATATGCAAGTGTTCACTAATTTCAGCTCCCCCAGAACGGTCATCAGTAAAAAGAGAAAACAAAAGATTCTACAAAAGATTTTACTTTTCTGTTGCTTTTGAAGGATGGGAGGTTGGAAACAGTTATTTTTCAGCAAAGGTCAAAGCTGATATTTGAAATCCCTACTCTTAGGGAAAGTATTATAGCCACTTAACATCACAACAGATCGGTGCTACAGCTTAACATATCATCAGAGAACACATAAGCTTATTTGCTATCAAAGTGTTGCCTCACACCCAGATACCTGGGTCAGTAACAAGCCAGTGGAAGCAGCATTTCCTACTGAGTTACTAACACTATTTCCTTTAGCAGTCATATATTCCCAGAAGAGATCTCATACAAATCTTAGCTTATGAAACGTGACAGAATCAGAGTGCTCACCAGCAGAAGCTGCACGGAATTACAGGTCTCTAGGGTCACATTCTACCTGCTCCAAATATAATAGTCCTGAGTGCCTATGTGCCTACTACAACCTCTTTCACACTTACTTCTGCCATATCCCCCATAAACCGGACACTGTGCTGTCACTGATAAAATAAAATCAGATTACACTCCACACTCAAACCTCATAAGAAACCATTTCTACAGGCATTGAAAATACTAGGCTCAACCAATGCACACAAGAGCAAGGGAGGAATGTGTATTTAAAGAAATAAAATCTATCACATATTACTGTTGTCTTCTCAGCACAGTCCGTTAGGTGACTTGTCAGAACTAATTGATTTTTTTTTTTCACATCATCTCTTCCTGCCCATAGAGAAAACAACTAACAGATTCAGGCACTAATGGTATGTAGACAACAATTAAAACACCTCTAGAAACAAATCATAAGCTCTGTTCTTTCATTATGGAGAGCTCTAAAACTTCTCTTGTATTTCTGTGCCTTTCCATAATAATAGCTTCTTATACTTCAAATGTTATGGATTTGATATACAAAAAAAAGTACTGTTATCAAAATCACACCTTTGTAGCCCTTGGCTCATTTCTTAACTTCTACCCCCCCGCCAGCCACTGGCCTTTCTCCCATACTCCCCTCTCTGTCCCTCTTCAAACATAGATCTTCCTTTGTATTTTTGAAGAAAGTAAGAGAAATTCCCCAGCAACACATGAGCAAAATCACACGACAGTTGTTACCTTGTCGGCCCTCATCATTGGTAAATAGGCCAGCATCACTGCTGCTGCATACACTGCTGGTTTCACTGGAACAAAAACAAACAAAAACCCCCATTGTTACAATTGCAGCAGATACAAAACAAAAAACACTTAATTATATTTTACTAGCTTCTCTGAGCCTAAAATGCTTTACACATCTCACAGAAATTGCATTTCAGACACATGGCTGGCTCTAGCATGGGACGTAATTGCTTTGTGTTAGAACCCAGCAATGCTGCATCGCTTGAAAAAGAGCAGAATCCTGTATCTAGTCTAGTTCTAAGTTATCAAAAAGTAATTAATACAATGGCATTTGCCTCGGGTACTAGAGTTAATAACCTAACTATGACATTGTCTGTAATACTCACTAGGAAATTAAGTGCAGTTAAAAACTCTGTCCTTGGGTCACTTAACAGCTACTGAAAACCCTCTGAAGTTTTCTACTTCAGATTCCTTTTTCTCAAAAATGTTATACAGGTACGTAACCCCCCCTTTAATCTATGGCAATTTTTATTTTATTTGGAGGGAAGAGCAGCTGGTACGTTCACAACTCTTCAGCTAAATACCTTAGCACAGCATGACTTGCTGCTGCTGAATGCAACCTCGTTACAGCATGCTTTGCATTTTCTGAAGCAGTTACAGGAGACTTAATTCTTGAACCAAAGAATTAAACTAGAAATTAATGTGTAGAAAGCCGTTAATTGACTGTAAAGCTGGATGAATATTTGTAGCAGAAGTACATGCTCAGGTCAGTCCCAAGCATCTGATGGCTTTAATGCTGGTATTAAATCAATCCTTGGACACTTCGGGCAATACTTCCTCTGATTTAGCTGAGAGATATCAGAACAAGCAGAAACTAGTCACTGCCCACCCCCTTAGCACTAAGGCCTTAGATGCGAACATCAGGTATAACTCAGCACTAGAATCAATCTCCAATCAGGGCATGCTGTTAGAAAACATCTCTGAGTCCCTCTTTTCCAGGGAAATTGGATCATGCTAGACACCAGTAATCAACTCGATTCAAAAGGCTGAAGGATGAGGGATCACAAGATACGTCACCCCAAAGAACTGCAGGCACATAATAAAACCCCATTTTGTGAGCATATTATTGCTCTTAGAAAATGCACTCTAAAGTGTAGCCAAATCAACTCATCATGCTGGATATCTACAAACTCTGCATCTTCATTATTGTATAAAGTATTGTAGAAAGGCCATTTAAACTTAAAGGATGAACAGTCTGTACATCATTCCCACATTTCAGTATGTAAGTTAATATCAAATTCCAAATCAATCCATTAGAAAGTTTGGCCATCCGTTCACCCTCCCACATATATACCATAGCAATTAAGGCCAAGGACTGAGAACCATGAGTCATTCATTTCATTCCTAGCTCTCCTACCAACTCACTGTATGACCCTGGGCAAATCTCTTAGTGTGTCTGCTTTCCCTTTTGAAAGCCTGGATTAATAGTCCTCACAAGCAGCAGATGCGAGGATTGAGTGACTGCTTCATAAGGGTTTTAGCATCCTCAGAGGAAAGGTGCCTGAGAAAGGAAAAAGCATTAAGTCAAGATTCCAGATCATATTAACAGTACTTTAAGCATCCTGTTGTACTGAGAACTCTTTAGTTCCTTATAGATACGCATTACTGCCAGTGCTTTACTGGAACAAACCTTCACAGATCTCACTCTCTTCACCACCCCTTATAACTTCAGGGCTGAACACAAACTAGACTCCTACACAAGCCTTTCTGCAGGTCCAGTAAGCACTGATTAATGACCTCCACTTGCAAAGGAGGCTACTTACCTTAACCATGAAATAATGAATGCTATTGATCCGACAAGCTACTGCTATAGAGTGTTATTGATCACCCAATCTTTGGTTAAAATGGTCCTCATTTAGCAATTTCACTGTCGCAAACACCTGGAGCAAAGCATGCTTATAATTAAATAGTTTGGGGGAGTTAAAGTGAGAGCTGATGGACAGAGATCTCAGGTTTCCCCCATTTATTCTTTCGCCTGAGCTATTGTTTGTGTCAGGAGAGATATTGATTTTCTATAAAAATAAGAAAACAAGAGGCACCGAGGGGCTGCAGAAGGTCAGGCTGGGCTGGAGAAGGAGGGGAAGCTGAACACTCTGTCTTTGTCACTTGCCTTCCAAGAGAGAGGAATTTTTTCTTTACGGAGAGACTGCCTCCAATTCATCAGCTTAGCCAGGCTCTTGACTGCCGCTGCAGGCTATCATCGAAACAGCTCCCTTCCAAAGGGTAAAGTGACTGTACTGCACACTTGGGATGAGCATTGGTTACACTCCCAGCCCAGAATACTGTACTGGTTTTGGCTGGGATAGAGTTAAATTTTCCTCATAGTAGCTCTATGGTGCTGTGTTTTGGATTTGTGACCAAAACAGTGTTGATAACACACCGATGTTTTAGTTATTGCTGAACAGTGCTTAAATAGTGCTAAGGCCATCTGTTTCTCACACTGCTCTGCCAGCGAGTAGTCTGGGAGTGCACAAGAAGCTGGGAGGGGACATAGCCAGGACAGCTGACCCCAGCTGGCCAGAGGGATATCCCACACAGTATGTTGTCATGCTCAGCAATAAAAGCTGGGTAAAGAAGGAGGAAGGGGGGACATTTCGAGTTACTGCCTTTGTCTTCTCAAGTAACTGTTACGCATGATGGAGCCCTGCTTTCCTGGAAATGGCTAAACATCTGCCTGCCAATGGGAAGTAGTGAATGAATTCCTTATTTTGCTTTGCTTGCGTGTATAGCTTTTGCTTTACCTGTTAAACCAACTTTATCTCAACCCACAAGTTTCCTACTTTAACTCTTCTGATTTTCTCCCACATCCCACTGTGAGGGAGTGAGTGGGCAGCTGCGTCAGGCTGAGCTGCCTATCCGGGTTAAACCACAACAAATACATCAGCATCAAGCCAGAGAAGTCACACAGCATTGGTAGGTCAGTACAATCCCGTTTGAAAAAGACACATTAAGAGTTATGACACTTGAGAGTAGATTAGAGAAACTGCACATCTCTCACTAGTAAGCACATCATTCAAAGTGATTTTTCAGACAGTTCTTGTACTACAGTTTGTTCTGCCCTCAAGCCAAACCCAGACCATTCTGGGAGTACTCAGCTTAGACCAACAAGAGAAAGAACTTCAGTACTCAATATGTAATTTGCCTTTGCTTTATTATGGCTGCAGGGAATCTCAAAGCATTAAGGGACAGAAGGGCATGTTACTTCTAACAGTCTTAGCAGTTAATTGTCACCTTTGTACAAATATACAAATGGATACTTAAACTAAGACCACTTGCTTCCTCTGTTGTTTCCACAATCATTTATATGTCAGACTTGGAGTCATGTCACTACCCAATTTAGAACCATCATTGTTCCCTCAACATGTTCCGGCACATCCTTCTCTCAATTTGTGTTCATCTCTTGCCATGTTTGGCAAACAATTTCAAAGATTTGACTTCACGCACACTTTGAATCACAATACTGCAGCACATTTTCCTCCAGGAAAAGACTGGGCGCAGTCCCTCAAGCAAACTATAAAAACTATCTCCTCATTAAGGATCCATATGCAAAGCTTTCTCAGGGACTGGAGTTCATCTACTGAATGCAGTAGCTTTTTGATGTGACTTGGGATAAGGAGCCTTCTAGAAACTAGACAAAATGCTGGATATTTTAGCATTTACAGAGATTCATTCCTACATAACAAAGAAAAGCAAGTGTCAGTGGAGGGGAGGAAAAAGAGAGTGAAAAAAACCATCAGTTCAGAATATACAACTTAGTTTGCCTAAAAACACATTAGCTTTACGACACTCCCCACTGCTAGAGGAGTGAACAGTAGTGAAACCAATTCAGCATCGAAGTGTTTCATAAATCACCAGATCACCACAGACTGCTTTCAAGTCCCACAATCTGTATCAGTCACTTTCCCTCCCATCAGCTTGTGATAACAACCATACCATTCCCTCTCCTAGGCATCCAATTTTCTTCTCTCTTCCTCAGGATATGCCCTTGTTATACATCTGTGCAAAGTACTTCTCTTATGTTACCAGAAAAAACAGCTAGAGCAGAGTGAGTGAGGTAAGCACAGCCAGTTTCACTCTGCTGCTAGCAGCAAAGTGCTATATTTAGAGCAGCAGAGACCAAAGCATGATCCTTCACTGCCGCGAGGGATACTCTGCAGTGAAGAGGGTTGTATGTATTTCTCTCTCCAACTTTGACCCTCCCTAGTGAGTCATAGCACAGATCACACATGCGGTGTTGGAGAGGTCAAATATTCCAACCCCTGGATTTCCAAAGAGAATCCCAAGGATTTGGCAGCAGATGGTAAATGTCATTTGATGCAGACACTTGCACAATAATTAGTTTGAGAGCAAGGAACAACTGAGACAGAACAAAGTGATCTTCCAGCATGGTCCTCAAGTAACAGTCCAGACAAAGCTGTTTGTTTACTCTTTCAAAGGCTAGCATAAATAAAGGCTGGATGAAAGCCTGCTGCTTTAAGTTCAAGTTTGACATGATGGAACAGACTCTGACTGGTGGGAAAAAAACCTCAAAGAACACTGTCCATCACTGCCACATCAAGTAAGGATATCTCTCAGTCCATCACCACTGACATGCAACATTCAGGGGTTACTCAGCACATTCCCTTTCCTGGACTACCAGCAAATAGCTCTGAAAAGATAAAAGTGCTTTTAACAACTTGCAGCAAAAAGGCATCCACTAGTCTCTTGAAAAGACTCACTTTGCACCCACTATTTAAGCAAAAAAATAGCCACTTTTTAAGGAAAAAAATGACCACTTTTTTGCTACTTCCACCCTGTAAGGGTTACATACAAACCACACTGATTAAGCAAAAATGCAATAGTGGTCCCCTGGATCAGGACAGTGAGGACGTATTACAACCTATGCTTTTCACAGTCTCCCAGAAAATACCATTGAGAAGTTCGTACTTCCAGCTATTACCCACAAAGCCCTCAATAACCAAGTGCCACCTGTCCACTCTGACAAACTGCAGGTGCTAGACAGCCTGAACACTTAAATGAACCTTAACATATGCACAATTATACTGGATCAAACAATTATACTTTCCAAATTCACTGTCCTCTCTCTGATAGTGCCTATTACAGTGGATGCTTGAGGAAAGAATATGAGAACATGACAAATACAGACCGACTGTTTCCTCTGTATATTCCTCCAGCTTCTAGCAGTCAGCAGTTTAAGGACTTCCTGAGCCGGATCTTCCATGTGGGCTGTAATGCTTAACAGCCCCTGATAAATCTATGCTCCACATCCCCCTTTTGGACATACTTAAATTTTTGACCTCTAAAATGTCCCACAGCAGAGTTCCAAACCTCGTGTTTCATGAAAAACAATGCTTTTTTGTTTGTTTTAAATGTTTCCTCAACGTCTCCTGCTTCTTACACAATGATAATTAGCAAATAAACAACCCTATTCACTTTCTGTATGCCATTAAGAAATCTCCTCCACTTGATTCTCAGCAGTTGTTTCTTTTCTAACATGTAAAACCTCTTCGTACAGAAGCAGTTTTATAACCCCAAACCTTCTACAGAGAGAATAAAAGTCACACTCAAGGCGAAAACTTCCCAAGAGTGACACACAAACAAATTAAGACCATAACATTTACACTTCTCGTTTCCATGTCTTGTATGAGATTTGCCACAAAGACATCAAAGTTCTCCAAAACTGGACACAAAGACATGCCAGACTCGCCTGTTTGCACAAGCTTATCCTGTAAGAATTAATTCAGTTTCCCCCAACTTCTTTATCATCTTGCTACATTTTCCCCATAGCAGCCTTTCAGGACCTTATTCCAGATCCAGAGCAGAGATGCAGAACTGCAAACAAGAGGTTTTGACTGAGGTTCACACAGTACCTGCACAGAGGGCTAACGGTCACGATGGGAGATCTGTCTGTTCTCTATTATTACTTACGGTAAATTCTGAAAACAAGAAATTGAGATCAGTTCATCTCAATCATGCAACACAAGTGCCAATGGTCGATTTACTCTCCAAACCTCAGGCCACAAGCATGCCACTTTGTAGCTGCAGGGCCACAGACATTTCAGAGGGCTCCTTGTGTAACAGGAGCCAGAAACATATCAGCTTGCCAACTTTTTAAGGAAGTATTTTGGGTCATCAGTACAGTATTGACAGGAAAGACTTGGAAAAAATCTACAGTTTAGAAGTAGCTGGGATATTTCTCCTCTTCAAAAAGAGAGCAGCACTGAAAAATTTTGATAAGAACTTCTAAAAGCAAGGCACAAGATTTACAAGCCGCTGCAACCAAGGCGGCCATCTGACTAGCACAGGGAAGAAACTGAGATCTCACCATTCCGACATGTTTTCATCTGAGCCCTGTTTCTGTTCATCAGCTTCACACTCCATCCGCTCCTTCCTTCCCCCTTTGCTGAGGAAGGGCCTGTTCTCTCCTGATTCACAAAGGCCATGACTGGATGATGTCCAAGGGGCATTTTCTTTCCAGCGTGAAAGACGCTGTTTCTTGGCTGACTTGAACCTGCAGCCCCTCTCGTAGTTCCACTCTGACACCCTGAGCTTTTGCTGGAGACTGGCAGCCACCTCTGATGTCACACGTTTGACCTTCCGTCGGCGCCTGAGAGGTCGACAGGGCGCATTCTCTGTAAAGGAGTCTGACTCATGCCACGAGTGTTGCTTGCTCCTCAGGGTGGCACTGAGAGCTGGGTGTCGTTTGACCACGGCCATGTCATCAGAGTCACTGAAATTGGCTGTCAGCACTTCACGGCAATCCTTGACAGCTTCGTCCAAGCTTGATTCCGAGGCCTCACTGTAGCAGCAGGCATGCTCTGCCTGATGCGTGAAGTCTGAGCGTCGTTTACGACCCCGTCTCTTGCGAAGCTGACGCCGCTGCTGCCGTGGGCTTAGGGCCATCTCTTCCCATAGCTCATCCAGCTTGTTTTGTTCTGAAGTCTGCTCTAAAGCTGAGGCCAAGTCATGCACCAATTCATCCATTGGCAATGCCTACTAAAAAGGACAACAAGAAATTAGCACCAGACATAAATGCTGCTACCAACACATCACTAGACTACTATCACTAGACTAGTACGCTATAGCCTCTGTAACATTAACCAAGTTACACACTGACTTTGGAGTTCCTGGGAGAACCCAATGCAGGACAACTGCCACTTCTTGGGCTAATGCTCACTCCTTCCTTTTGCAAGGGTTAAATCCCTCTTCTAACCATGGTAGCAGAGATCTCGCTACTGCAGCAGTTGGGTCAAATGCTCTGTGTCTGAAAAGGCCTTGAGGTTGCATCTTTTGCATTGAAGCAACATGCTCTATTACATATCTTAAGGGTATGAGAGCCTGCAACTAGTTCACTACCTGGTGTCAGTAAGCCACAGAGAAGGGTTAGCCTGCTTGGCAAACAGATCGAGTCTTCCAAAAAGCAGACAAGCAGCAAAGCTGAGAGTAAAACAGATGGTAAAACAGGTAGTTTGCAAGCAACTTCAACAGCAAAACAAGGCGTGTGGGACCCTGTGCTCCTTCGAACAGGGTGTGTGAGACCGAGCCCCAACTCCTATTGCCAAAAAGTCCCACTCCTTCCACCTTAGGACTGTCAAGGAGCCAATACCAAAGACTTGGCCAAATCCCTCACCTCACAACTCCCTCTCCCCACCCGTGCCTTGCAGACGTGGGATTTCTCTCCCCACCTCCTACCGGGCTCAGAAACTCCCGCACCCCTATCCCGGTGAAGCACCTGCTGCCGCAGGCCGCCTCCCTTGGTCCGAGCGCCCTCAGGGACCCGGCCAAACCGTCTCCTTCCTCTGAGGAGAAACCGGTCCTTCCGCCGGACAACCCCCGCCCGGAAGGTCTGTCCTCATCCCGCCGCCCTCCGTCGGGCCTCACCCCGACCCCACTTACCGGCCAGCGCCC